ATTTCATAATGTTCTTTCCCTTCCCTGTGCTCTTACAAACTTCTTGTTCCTCTCCCAAAATATTCTCAGAGCTTCGGAATGGGTGATATTGCTGCCCTGCTTATACACGAACACTCCATTGTCACTTAGACCCAGATGTTGCTCTGTGATGGATCTCTGCATTGACTGTCACCCAGCGAAGAGAAGATTCTGTACCCTGTTTAGGGCAGTGGTTCTCAATTTTTCTAACGCTCTGACTCTTTAATGCAGTTTCCCGTGTTGTGTTGATCATATAAAATTATTTTCATTGCTACTTCATAACTGTTACTGTTATGAATCACAGTGTAAACATCTGTGTTTTCCGATGGTCTTAGGTGACCCCTGTGAAAGGATTGACGCCATAAGGGGTTTGTGACCCTGGTTGAGAACCACAGGTTGAGGGCATTATAATCAATGAATGTAAAATGTAAATATTTAGAAAGTAGTCTTACTACAGAATCATTCAGCAAAGTATCAGTAGCAGGTCCTTCAAAATGTCTGGCACCTCCCTAGCAAATGAGCTTTGATTAGGTTTACAGTAACCAGCCATATATCTTCTCAGCTAAATATCTTATCTTATCATATATCTTACCCTTTTATCTTATCAGAAAACAGTCTTTCCAGTAGACATATCTGGCCTGACCAGCTGGCATTATACCATTCAGGGTCCACATCTGGGTAAATCATAGAAAATTTTTCTCCCCCAGTAACCTGCCACAGTGAATGCTAGTCAGGAAAGAAGGACATCCACTCACTTTCAATGTGATTTCTCTGAACCCAAAATGTGTGGTGTTTTCAGCAACAGAGACTTAGTCCTTTCTGGGGAGTAAGGAAGCCCTAGCAAATGTCTGAGAAACAGATGAGATCAGATCTTGTATGAATATGATTCCTTAAACACAGGCATGTCTAGGAACCCAGGGCCACAACTCATGGGAATGGAAAAGTCTTCCTTTTGCCTCTGCACAGATATTAACAATGTGGGCAGAAAGAAATGACAGAGATTTCTCCTCCTGGACATTTACAGTCTGGAGGCTGTTCCCTTACAGAGACCTCCAAAATACACTATTTAAACCTGCCTCTTTGTTCAGCTGTATATAAGAACCCTTCCATCCAAGTGGGTTCCATTGTAATAGGAACAGGGACTGTCTGACATGAACTGATTGGCCTACTCTTTAATTACCTCCCCCTGAGGGGGAAGCAGCATTACCAGGCCACCTAGGAAGACAATGCAGCCACTCCTGATGAGACCTAACAGACTAGGATCAGAAGGAAGTAAAAGAAGACCTCCCCTATCAGTGGACTTGGGGAGGGGCATGCATGCAGAGGGTGGAGGAAGGGAGGGATTGGGACAAGAGGAGGGAGGGAACCACAGGATGGATACAAAGTGAATAAAGTGTAATTAATAAAGAATAAAAAATCAAAACTGTATGTGTTAGCATATCACACAACCATTGTAAGAAGAGTATAAAAATTGAATCAATAAGAAAAAATGTTCATTGTTCATAACTGTGTAAAGCTTAACTGTAAAATATGATTGCAGAACCGCATATAGAATTCAATATGTTTATTTAGAAGATTAAATTTTCTTCACTTAAAAAAAAAGAACTCTTCCACTTCATTACACTGTACAGAGTAAGCCTGTCTCCTTGATTCAGATGTGTAAAATAAACATGATAAGGTCCCAGAATGCTACTTGCACATCTCCAATAGAGCACATGGCATGAATTCCAGATTTTCTATATTTGTGTCAGTCCTTTCTTCTTTCCCGCACTACTCTAACTACATCAAACCCAAAGCCATGCAGCTCATGGCACCTCTAATTCTGGTGGGCAACCAAGAGGACCAGAAATATCTTATTGTAGGTCTAACTGGACGTTTACATGTAGAAAAAAAAGCAAATAGATACTTATTTATTAGACTGCTTAAAACTAAAATCCAAGCAGATCAAAGACCTCAACATAAAACCAGACACATTAAACCAGTAGAAGAAAAAGTGGGGAAGAGCCTTGAACTCATTGGCATAAGAGACAACTTCCTGAACAGAATGCCAACAGCACAGGCTCTAAGATCAACAATCAATAAATGAGACATCATGAATCTGAAAAGCTTCTATAAAGCCAAGGCCACTGTTGTCAGAAAAACAAAACAAAACAAACAAACAAACAAAAAAACATGACAGCCTACAGATTGGGAAAGGATCTTCACCAAACCTATATCTGACAGAAGGCTAATATGCAGAATATATAAAGAACTCAAGAAGTTAAAAAGCAACAAATCAAGTAATCCAATTAAAAAATGGGGAACCGAGCTAAACCTAGAACCCTCTGTAGAGGAATATTGAATGGCAGAGAAACACATAGAAATGCTCAACATCCTTATGAGGGAAATGCAAATCAAAACAACCCTGAGATTTCACGTTACACCCATAAGAATGGCTAAGATCAAAAACCCAAGTGACTATTCGTGGAGATAACCTAGAACTCCTGCACAGATGTAGCCCATGGCAGTTCAGTGTCCAAGTGGGTTACATAGTAATGGGAAGAGGGACTGCCTCTGACATAATCTGATTGGCCTGCTCTTTGATCACCTCCCCCTGAGGGGGGAGCAGCTTTACCAGGCCATGGTAGGGGACAATGCAGCCAATTTTGATGAGAACTGATAGACTAAGATCAGAAAGGAGAGGAGAACCTCTCCTATCAGTGGACTTGGGGAGTGGCATGCATGCAGAAAGGGGAGGGAGGGTGGGATCGGGAGGGGAGGAGGGAGGGGCTTATGGGGGGATACAAGGTGAATAAAGTGTAATTAATAAAAAAATAAAATAAAATAAATTTAATTAAAAAAAATTTCAACCAGTCTCTTTTAACCACATGGATTCTGAGTTTCAGAAGGAAGAATTTGGGTAGGGTTGTCTTGAGATGTTGGTATTATCAGTCTTTGTTTTGGTTTAGTTGTTTTCCTTTCCTTTACTTTCTTTTTTTTAATTAAATTTTTATTTTTTATATTAATTATAGTTTATTCACTTTGTATCTCAGCTGTAGCCCCCTGCCTCCTCCCCTTCCAATCCCACCTTCCCTTTCTCGCCACCTATTTTTTTTTTTTTTTAAGATACAATTAACCGGTCTCAAGCATTTTGTTATAGGAATGAAAAACTAACTAATGCAGAGAGTTGCAGCTGACACACCTGATCCTAAGCTAAAAGTTGACTGCAATCTTGTTCCATAAAAGTCTTAAGGAAAACAATAGTCCGATGATGCTAAGATGGGGGAGGGGAGTCTCTGAAGATTTACTGTATGTATGTTCTAATAAATTTAAACAGATATCAAAAAAAAAAAAAAAAGAAAACCCAAGTGACAATACATGCTAAAGAGGCTGTAGAGAAAGGGGAACCCTTCTTCACTGCTGATGAGAATGTAACCTTGTACAAACACTTTGGACATCAATCTGGCGTTTTCTCAGACAATTAGGAATAGTGCATAGTTTAGTCTTAAATAGATATTTGTTGTGGTTAGTGGGCCGTGTTCATCACAACCTCGTATCAAAACATTGTTCTTATTTTGCTGAAAGTGTTTCTAACAGATGGTTGATGAATTTTGTCAAACATTTTGTTTTGCCTTTATTGGCAATGCTGTGAAATTTTTTCTCCTTCACTCTGAATTTTTTTTTTTTTTGCATTCTGTACTTTCTATTGGAATTTACATGCAAAAGAGAGTGGATCTATGTGTGTTAGCTGTTTTAACTGCCAAATTTCAAATCAATTCTATCATGTCAGCATTAAAGTATTGAATTTTAGTAATTCAATACAATTTTGCTAATTAAAATAAATCATCTATGACCTCTAAGATATTTTTATTCCAGAGTTAAGAGAACCATGCTTCTTGTCTCAAAAAGAAAAGGGAAGAATGGGAATTAAGTACTGCTCTCTTAATAAGCAAGAGTGGAAAAGACCAAGCTCACAGGAACAGTTTAATCAGCCTGGACATCGACCCCATGATTTAGAACTCAAATGGCCTGTGAAAAAAAAAAGGATGGTTAACAGTTTGCAATATGCCCCTTATCTGAAGTTAGCAAAGAACTACTGATTTCAGAATCTGTGTGAGTCCTAAAAGGCATTGGTAAGAAAAGATTTGAAGACTCCAAGTCATTAATGTTTACCACCCTCAGTACTCTGCAAAGGAAGTCAGTCCACAAAACATAATTTAGATCTCCTTGCGGAGTTGCTTCATGCTTTCTAAAAATCTCCCACCCCCTTGAGTGGACATGTCAGTGCTGTTGCCATAGTGTTCTTAGCGAATGATAGACTGTAAAACTTCTACTGTTTTATGATTAATATTTTACCCAATAAAATAAAATCTCACCTAAGGATGTCTTTCACAGTGTGATATGGTACTAAGAGGTATTCCAGTTAGTTTTATTAAACAATTTTTCCACTGAGGCCAGAGTCAGAAGAGCACCACACATCTGCACATCTGTTAGAACAGTGAATGTTCACTGTTCACTGCCCTTGTCTAATACTATCTTGATGGTCTGGGGACCCAGTTAGATACAGTCTCGGGGAAAATATTTCACCTTGGATTCAGTGAGCATTACCTTTGAGTCTCTTTGTTCAAGGACATTGGAAGATGATTTCTACCATCATACTCAACATCACTCCAGAAAGTGGTGTTATATGTACAAGACCAGGGCAGAGGGCATTGGTATGCATTGTTCTAAACCAGACTTGTACTCTCACATGGTAAGAAAATGCAGAAATCACTCATTGTCATATGGCAGCAAGAACTCGGTAGATAAAGTGAGAAGTCTTTATAGTGTGTTGGGGCATAATCGGTGTCCTTAAAATGGGGACATGGCTTACTGTGTATTATGAACAAAAATTACCTACAGGGCAGTTGACTAGAGAAAATGTGTTCAGAGTTTTCTGTGAACAAGTATGTTCATTACCAAAAAGCAGAATAAAAAAAAATGCCAATGGAAGAGCTACTTACACCAGAATAGAAAGGCTCACCAGACACACATAGCACATCCTGTTCCTGTAGCATCAGCAGATCTCTGGCGAGGTGAAGCCGAACTTTGAAAGGTTCCTGGTTACCATCTTGTAGCAAGCAAACCCCTGTCTTCGTCTTCAGATAAAAAGAGCAAGAAAGAGAAAAAAAAATGTTCAATACACAGGTTATAATTCTCACAACTATTTACAGCAAAATGTGATGGACAACACTTGAGACCTGAGAGCAATGCTCTCATCATTTACACAGGAGTTCACAGAGACACTGAAGAATGAAAAACCACTTCAAGGAAAGTGGAGGTTCAGGTAATAGAGACCATGCCAGAGAAACCGCACTGAGACGGGGGGGGGGGGGGGGGGAGACTGCATTACACTGAGAAATGATGAAACCACTGTTTAAAATGTTAAATATAAAGGTTATAGATACATCAAGATACATTTTACGTTCCATAAAATTCAACCTTTTAAGGTTTGTAATTTACAGTTTGAGGTATATATATTCAGTATACATATACTATGCCACGTGTATAATCACTTTCAAATAACTCTGATTACTCCAAAAGGAACAGAAGAAAAAGAACCATCCTGTACATCTGGTCTCCATTTCTCATCCTTGCTTTGGTAAGCATTAAGCCACTTTCTGTCTTTGACATAAAATTCAAAACTGAAACTATATGCTTAGGATTTATTTAGGTTTCCACTATCTTATCATTTCTAGTTGTGATCATACATACATGAATGCATTTTTACGCGCACACACACACACAAATAACTTTGTACCTATAAATAGATGAAGATGAGGTTTTGATAACTACCTAAATGAAAAAAAAATAAAAACAGATTTTATTATAAGCTAGAAAAGTGTTATTGTAAGCGCATGTTTTTGCTTATACATTTTTGGAAATTATGCAAACAGACTAAGGACTTCTGAATTTGTTTTTCCTGAATCTTAGTGTGAATCACAAAGTCAACAAAAATGATCACTACTTCAAAGATGCTACTTCTCTTTAATAATCATTGAGCCATACTTGGATCGATGGGTAAATGGACAGGATGTGTATCCAACTTATTTAAGGACAGTGTGTACTTAAATAAATAGTGCCAGGCTTGATTTGGCAATAACTATCCAAAGGCATCAGCTGAATTCTGTTTCCTTAGAATGTGCTATATTTAATGTTTAATATTAGTGCTTACAAGATCATTCTTTTGTAAGGAGGCAGAGTAATCAGATGAATGTGTTTATTTTTACACAAAAATTAAATCTCAACTGAATATTTGTATTAAGGACACAGAGCATCTTCAGGATTTTTTGTTTTGTTTGTTTTTACTGAACGATTCAAACAACCAACCCTAAGAACGCCACAGGAAAAAAAAATGACAAAACATTTATAAATATTTCAAAACAGTTAGAAATTTCATTTTAATCTCAAGCTGACATTCATTCAATGCGTTCTGAAACTGAAGTCAGCAACTCAAATAGTAGGGTTTTAAAACCCATCATCCTGACACACAATCCAAAGATGTATTAATTGTATCCATATATACTAAAGAATGGTAGTATAAAATATTAAAAAAGCTTCATTTCCTAAAATTAAGTCTTTATTTATCTATAGGGTCAGATAGCTTTGTATGTACAATAAAAAGACTGCCTTCCATGGCATGATAATCTGGAATGTGAGCTAAACTTTTTTCAATCAATGTGCACTGGTCTTGTGTGATGAGACACAAAGTATTCCTGTTATATGTTAGAGCCGATCTTCAGTAATGTCTCACAAAGCAATCCCAAAACAATCTACCAGAAACGCCTCAGATTAAGTATGCTTTTGATATGGAATTGATTTGTTTGTTTGTTTGTTTGTTTGTCAATTGTTCACAAACCTCTTTTGTTTTCCTTTGAGTGGGGATCAGTATTTTGGATAATTAAACCATACTATTTTTATTGAAAATAATTTTTTTTATCACACAGTATGTTCTGATTACAGCTTCCCCTACCTCGTCTCCTCCCAGATCCTTCCCTCCACCCCAGATGTCCAACTCCACACCTCCATACCTTCTTTTTCTCTCTCTTCAGAAAACAAACCAGAAAAAGTAATTTAAAAAGACAGAAACATACACATACAGACATAGACACACTCACACACACACACACACACACACCACATAAAAACACAGAATTATAAAACATAATGCATAATTAAAAGACCAATGAGATTTTGAAAAATCTCAAATAAAGCAGTATGAGAGAAAAGAAAAGGAAGATATACAAAAGTGACATTGAGTTTGTTTGGTGTTGACCTTTAGTATTGGGCATGAAGCCAACCCTAGAGTGTGGTTCATATGCCCACAGAGACTCTATGGGTGAAAACTAAATTTTACTTTGCAAGCAGTTGTCCATTGGAAATACCTTCTTACAAATGGGAGCTCATGTCCATATCCCTCTCTCAGTTTCTGGAACACTGTTAGGACAACTTGTGCAGGACCTATACATACTTCAAGTTTTCTATGAAGACTTACTTACATTAGTCATCTTATGTCTGGAAGTCCCTTTTTCCTTGCAGTCATCCATCTGACTCTTATAATCTTTCTTCATCCTTTTTCACATAGATCCATGATCCGTGAGAGGGAAGACTTGAGGAAGACATCCCATTGAGGGCTGTTTTATAGTTTCTCACTCTGTGCATTGTAGTTGTGGGTCTCTCTATTAGTTCTCATTTATTTTCAAGAGGAAGCTTCTCCAGTGATGGCTGAGTAAGGCCATCTATGGGTATAGCAGATATTTTAAGAGTTATTTTATTGGTATTTTCCCTTAGCAGAACAGTATTTGGTTTCATCTAAGCCCGTGGGCTATCTAGTCTCTAGCAACTATCGAGCAATCCAAGCATTGTTTGCCATGGGTTTCATCTTGTGGAGTGGACTGCAAATCCAATCAGAGAGTGGTTGTTTGCACACACAACTTTTGTGGCACTATCACGCCAGCTTATTGTGCAGGCAAGTCGACATTGTAGATTAGAGGTTGTCAGTTAGTGCTTGGCTTTTTCCTCTGGTAGTGTGCAAAGTACCTTCCAGTTCCATGAACAATAGTCAGTAGTGGTGAAGGCTCTAGTTAAGCACCACCTGAACTTCTCTGTGTTCAATAAGATATATAAGGATTCTTTTCAGCAATAGGGCCGTAGAATCAATTAATAGAAAACAACTAATAGCCTAGGCAATAGCCCTAATTGTCATCTTTTGGGGTCTGGTCAACTTACTCAGTACTTTTTTTTATTTATTTTTTGTTGTAATTTCATCAGTTTATCTACTATTTTATTTAAAATCCTGTTAAAATCAATTTATCATGATTTTATTTTTTAAATAGCTGAATAATATCCCACTGTGTAAATATACCACATATTTATTGTCTGTTCATCTGTTGATGTACATCTAGGCTGTTACCAATACCTGGCTATTCTGAGTAGAGCAGGAATTATCATAGATGAGCAAGTAAGATTTATAGTCTCTTCGGCATATGCTCAAGTGGTAAATCTGGATCTTGAGGGAAATTATTCATTGCTTCCTGAGGCACAGCCATAGTGATTTCCATAATAGCTGTACAAATTTTCACTCCCAGAAATAGAGAATAAATGTTTCCCTTTCGCCACATTCTTTTCAGCATGAATGTTATTTGTTTTATTGATCTTGGCCATTTTGACTAATGTATGACAAAAATTTACAGTAGTTTTGATTTGCATTTCCTGAAAACCAAGGATATTGATAATTTTTTTCATTTCTAAGTCATTTCATTTTTATCTATTCAGAACGCTGTTTAGTACTGTATCCCATTGTTTAATTGGGTTATTTGTTTCTTGATGTCTAGTTTTCTTGGTTGCTTTTGGTTGCTGTTGTTATTTATATATTTTAGATGCTTGTCATCCATGAAATTGGTAAAGATCCTTTGACCTTCTGTAGCTTCCTGCTTTGTCCAAATGATAATGTCCTCTGCTATACAGAAGCTTTTCAGTTTCAGGAGGTCCCACTCATGGCTTGTCCTTAGTGTCTTTCATATCAGTGTCTTCTTCAGAGAGTCATTTCCTGTGCCAATGAGTTCAAGACTACTCCCCACTTTCTCTTTTATTGGATTCAGTTTATCTGGCCTTATTTTGAAGTCCTTGGCCCATTGGTGTTGTATGCAGTCAAGTTTGACCAACGTCATTTGTTAAAGATGCCATCTGTTTTTCAATGTGCAGTTTTTGCTTCTTTTTGAACAACTAGGTATCCCTATGCACGCAGGCTTCTCTTTGTGTCTTTAGTTCAATTTCATTGATGAACATGCATGTTTTTGTTCTAATACCATGGTTCTTTCATTACTGTGGCTCTGTAGTGAATTGGGCATGATACCTCTAGCAGTTCTCTTACTATTTGGGAGTGTTTTCTCTGTTCCTGCATTTTCTGGTTTAATATGAAGTTTAAGATTGACCTTGTCATTTTTGTGAAGATTGTGCTGATATGTTGATGTGGATTGCATTGAATCTGTAGATTTCTTTTGGCATGGTGGTCATTTTTATTGTTCTATATGCTAAGAAGCACTTTAAAAAAAAAAACCTTCTGTCACAAAGGATTGTTCTGATGTTGTAAAATAATTCTGCCATTTTTATGAAGAAACTTACCTAATTTCATTCCTTCTTCCTGTCTGGTAGTAATACTCATAGCCTCTGCTTGCCAAATCTGCACTAATCTGTTCTACAATGTTATTGAAGTAGGAAGATCTACAGGGTACAACTGTTTCAACATTAGAATATTATTATTTTTCTTAATATAAACTAATTTTTCTAAAATTTCATATGAAAAAAAATCTCCCATGTTTACAGTTTAATCTTGGCCAGTAAATGCAATGATAATCTAAAGAAGATGAGAGGAATTTGGATATAGAAGTATCAAAGCAATCAAAATTGACCACATTTTGTCAGAGGCAGTCCCTCTTCCCATTACTAGGTAACCCACTTGGACACTGACCTGACATGGGCTACATCTGTGAAGGGGTTCTAGGTTATCTCCATGAGTAGTCCTTGGTTGGAGTATGAGTCTCTGGGAAGCTCTTTGATCACCTCCCCCTGAGGGGGGAGCAGCCTTACCAGGCCACAGAAGAGGACAATACAGCCACATTTGATGAGAACTGATAAACTAAGATCAAAAAGGAGAGGAGAACCTCCCCTATCAGTGGACTTGGGGAGGGGCATGCATGCAGAAACGGGAGGGAGAGTGGGATTGGGAGGGAGGGGCTTATGGGGGCATACAAAATGAATAAAGTGTAATTAATAAAAAAATTTTTAAAAGTTTAAAAAAAATTGATCACATTTGATGATTTTTCCATGTATGTTTATTATGTACCAGAATTCCCAGTTGTTTAAGAATACAGTTGGTAATCACAAATATTTGCATTTCAATTGGAGAAGGGCTTTTCCTGTAACACCCAGAAGTACACCATTATTTCACATATAAAGTTAAAGAAAGAGCCAGATAAAGTATGGGCAGCTCAGACCTGACAGGAGGGTTTCCCATCTTATTTCCAGTAAAGAATAGTAAGCATTGTAAGCATTATTGCAAGCCATGTTCAAAAAATTATCTTAATTATTACATAGTTGACTGTTACAGAACACAGATATTGGGCACACTTTAACTTCAAAACATATGAGGTTCAAAAATAAGTAAGTTGGGAAGCTATTTTATTAGATCAAAATACACACACCAATAAATAGCTCCTTGGAGAAAACCACAAATATAAAGTGAGGATAAATTGACATTACAACACAGTCACAAAGGCTTATAGTGTCCTAACATTGAATCATGAGAATTTAGTTAGAAATGACAGCGCATTTGAAGTGGGTGTATATTTTATTCTCTGAAAACCATTTGCCTATGGTTTAATATGCGCTGAGAAAAAGTAATCTACTTTACTCTCCACTCTAAGAGAAGAGGTGGAGAAACCACACCGAGGTTGGACTGAGGGACAGATAGTTCTGTGTTTCCTAGTGCTTGCCTCTGTTTCCTTCAGGCAAAAATTATGAAGGTTGACTCTCCACATATCCTACAGATAATATCAGGTTATTGAAATCTCATTAGCCTGTACAAATCTCATGAACTATCATGAAATATTATTAAAGTGACACCATCATCTTAACCCAGATGTCCATCAAGTGTAAACACATTAGCCAATGAAGGAGAAACTCAGTAGCAGATTTCTCTGTAAGTAGTGAATTATTTTCCCCTAAAGCTGCACAACTGGAGGACTAAGATTCTCTATTACATGGAAAGGTTTGCTCCCCCTTTCTCCATGATTGCTTTGTCCAGAAGCCTCCAGAGACCCAAGATCCTAATTTCTTATGAATTAAAAGTCCCAAAATATATTGATGGCTCACAATTTTAGTATAGTATATCCTTATGACATATGTTTATCCTTGTTTTTCTTTATTGATATAAAATTGTTGGCAACCATTTATTCCCAAACAGTGAAGAAATTTCTTTTTTTTTCTTTTTTGTTAGTTAGTTAGTTAGTTAGTTAGTTAGTTAGTTAGTTAGTTAGTT